GGAGTGCCCACATGCCCCTTGGGGCATTCCTGGCACCTGCCGCGCTGCGTGCAGCTCCAGTGCCTCCGGACACAGCCCCGCTCTCCCAGCAGCCGGGCCGGGTTAGCCTCGCTGCCTGGGAAGCGCGTCAGTGCTTTTGCTGCTATTGTTTTCATCCAGTTTCCGAAAACTCTCCCCAGACTTTTGAGACACTGGGGGCGGGGCCAGATGCCCTTCGTGCGGGTCCCAGTGCTTCTAGGAAGGAGGCCCCTCTGCTGCCTGTCTCCTTCGGCTGCTGGGAAGTGGGGGGGTAGCTGTTGACTGGGGGTGAGACCGGAAGTAGCAGCCGGCCTGGCGAAGGACAGCTATGTCCTGGGCTGGGGGGGACGTAGGAGTTTTCTGCGGTCCTGAGGGCCGTCACCAGTCCAGCTGCCTCCTCGCCCTGAGTCTCAGCCAGGCCGCCTGACTTCAGCGGGAACCCTCTTTTCTCCGTGAGGACTGCTTCTTCGGCTGCCGCAGTCCGCGGTGTGGACTAGAGGAGACAGGCGGACCCCCAGGCAGGGCGGTGAGGCAGTGCCTTCACTGATGTTCCGTGGGTGCAGTCGGGAACTTTCCAGACTCCTACTTGGAAAGAGCGGGGCTGCTGCTGGCGGCAGGCGGGGCGTGTGCTGGGGGAGAGGGGCCGTGAGGCGGTCACAGAGGGTTGCATGTGACCCAAAGCCCGGGACCGTTTCCCACGTGAGAAGCTCAGAGCCACCAGCCCGGGCAACAGGATGGGTGACCTCCCAGGGCCCAGGGCCTGGCTCCTGCCACAGGCGGCACGGAGTGCACCCCAGACAGGAGGTGCGGGGGAAGAGTCACCCCTTCCTTCTAGGGTGACGGCCTGGTGGCCTGGAGCACCTGCCAGCAGGCCTGGCACAGCTCATCGCCGGAGCCAGGTCACGTGGCCACCCTCCCGGAGGCTGCTGGACGTGCTGCAGCGCTGCCCGGGGTGATGGGGTCCTGAGGGGAGCCCCTGGGAGCACACGGGGTTCTGTGAGTCTCGCTCAATGAAGTGTCACGTATGCTAATGGAGACACCTCACAACTGTGCTCCCGGCGTGTGTGTCTTTAATTTTATGGAATTCATTCATTCAGCACATATTTGTGGAGCAGACACCACGTGTCAGACGCTCTTACGAGTCCTGGGAAAGAGCAGCAAGCAAACACAAACAAGTCTGCACCCGGCGGAGCTGTCTGCCGGGGAGACTGTAAATACGTGAATGGGCGGGGGTGCGGTATGCGCGTGTGCACATCCGTGAGCGCGTGGATCCTGTGAGGAGACGAGAGCAGCGAGTGGGAGGGCTGTGGGCAGGGCAGCTGGCTGGCAGGTGAGTGGCCGCAGAGGGTCGTAGCAGACTCTTGGTGCTCCCACGTCGTCTCCCCTGCGCGCATGGTCCTGGGGCTGAGTGCGGCCACCGAGCCAGGCCCCGTCTCCTGCTCTGGTTGGGACTGCGCTCGGAGTCTCACTCTTCGTGACTGGACACGTGGCCAGCCTCCCTCCTCCTGCCACGTACAGCTGTGGCCGAGGCGCCTGGCTTTAGCCCCAGGTGGCTTCCCGAGTGGCCTCTGAGGAAGCCCGGGGGGGCGGGAGGGAGCAGGCTGTTTCGGTGTCTCGGGGAGAGGGAGGGAGGAGGGAGTGTTCTTGCCTGGAGAGTAGCGAGCTTGAGACACACATTTGGAA